GGATGTGAACCTCCAGGACCTGAGCCGAAGGCAGTCGCTTAACCAACTGAGCCACCCAGGCGCCCTCAAGGGCATTTCTATACTCCCTGATTCCAGTTCTCAATCTGTATGCATCCTCAAATCATCAAAGATGCATTTGATTCTCTCAGCTCCACAGTTATGAAAAAAAAAAATCACCAATGGTGACTTCTAAGATTGCTTAATGTACCTCTGATTGGACATTAGAATCCATAATGGGAGTTTGTTGGTTTCTTGACATCAACCAGTTAACAAAGCCAAGTTGGTCCAGGATTCATGCTCCATCCATTCTCTTCTCCAGTCTACACTCATTCCTCTGATGGTCTTACCTAGTATCATGATTTGAAATATAGGTGAAGGGTCCACACAAAATGAACAAACCTTTTTTAAAATTTTAAAGAGAGAGTTTTATTTAAGCTCAAGTTAGGACAGCTGATCAGTATACACTCACAAAGAAGAGAGTGGTCTGGGGAAGGAACATTTGGTTCAGTGTTATATTTTTGTTTTTACATGGAGTTACAAATCATCATGACCAAGGGCATTCCAGAAAGTTACAGACTTTGTCTTATGTTTTTAGTATGTGCAAAACTGTATGACTTTAATCTAATGGGAACCAAGGAGGGGTTTTTTTTTCTTTTCTTTTCTTTATGTTTAGAATGTTCCTTTTCGGTTATTTTTTTCAACAAAGCAGATGTGCAGTGTGTGCTTGGGGCAGAAATAGAGCCCATGCTTTGATGTTTTGCCAAGTCATTTTGACTTTGGTAAATGCTAAAGTATAGCTTCCCTGAGAGCCCAAAAAGCAGGGCCCACAAACACGGAAAGTTGAAAATTTCCTTTATTTTATCAAGGCTGAACTCTCTTCCAATGTTCCGTCATTGGTTGAAATGCCTACCTAACACATGCTTGTGGTCTCATAGACATTTCAAATTGACAATGTCCAAAACTGGAGTCCTGAGTTTCCCTCTAAACTTCCTCTATTTGCTTCTCCCCACTTCACAGAATGGCAAATCCATTTTTTTGGTAATCTGGGCCAATTACATGACTCAGAAATTCATTCATTTTATGAAAAAGGCCTGGACCAAATAAGGCCCAAGAGAGTGCGCAATTTGTGAAAGCGGACTTCTGGTGTCGGTTTTTTTTTTTTTTTAAGATTTTCATTTATTTATTTGAGAGAGAGAGAGCAC